CCTTTCAGATCCCTCCTCCCAGTTTTCCCCCTCCCCTCTCCCAGCCTCTCTCTTCCCCTCTCCCACCTCCTTTTCCCAGTTTCCCCGAGTTTTGTTAAATAAACAGAGTTTCTACTTTCCCTTGCTTCCCCCTTTCAGCTCCCTCCTCCCAGTTTTCCCCCTCCCCTCTCCCAGCCTCTCTCTTCCCCTCTCCCACCTCCTTTTCCCAGTTTCCCCGAGTTTTGTTAAATAAACAGAGTTTCTATTTTTGAACACACGTGTCCTTTATTTTGTACATCAATAAGAAGGGGGGCTAGGGAAGGGTAAGTGGAAGGAGGTAAGGGAGGAATGGGATACGAGCCCCCGATGGGGAGGACTGGGCTGGCTCTGCGGGCTTCTGGGGGTAGAAGCTCTCCTGCAGCCCCCCGATTGCCCCCTCTCCCCAGATGGCAGCCTGCGGCAAGTGCAGCCGGGCTGATGGCCGAGTGCTGTGATGTGCCCAGTGTGGGTACTTCGGGCACTCCAAGCCAGGACTGGTTTTCAAGCGGGGCACCCCTTAGAACTGTCTGTCCGGGGTGGGGGTCGGGACCCTTTAAGCGCACCCCTCGGCTAGCCTGAGACAGCATCTCCATGCTCTAAGTCCTCCTCTTATGCCCTGCCGGCACTGCTTCCGGCCAGCCTTAAGCCCTGTTCAGAGTCCACTCAATGTGGACTTGCTAGTTCGAATTAGCAAAACGCTAATTCGAACTAGTTTTTAGTTCTAGACGCGTTAGTTCGAATTAGCTTAGTTCAAATTAACTAATTCAAACTAAGTTAGTTCGAACTAGCGCTGTAGTGTAGACGTACCCTCAGTGCTCTCTTAAAGGCTGTCCCAGAATGATTTGTTTGGTGTTAACATTGGCAGTTAATTTTAAATCACTCCACTCCGTCTCTGGTGTTTTCCCTGATGTACATTAAGGGTGCTTCTACACTGCATGTGGAGCTCGACATAAGTTACGCAATTTGAACTATGCAAATTGCGAAGCTTATTTTGAGTCAATTTCAAAATACTTTATTTTGAAATAATTTGGCGCTGTTTACACAGCTCTTATTTTGAAATAAATCTTTATTCTGAAATGCACCTTACTCCTCCTGGAATAAGGTTTACTGGAACATCAAAATAGCGAGTCCAGTGCAGAAGTGCAATTTAAATACACATCAGTAAAGCAATGCTCAGATGTAAACATGGAAATTATCATTTTCTTTAATGGCAATGAGATGGTTATAACTATAAAGTACATTTCTAGAGATGTTTATTATGCTACTATTGGAGTTCAGAAACACAGATTTCAATAAGGTATTTTGCAGGAACGAACCTGAAGTATTTGAACTTTATTACTCTGAAACTGACATTAGAACACTACTTTCTTTGTCCGATGTCAGAGTACAGACAAATTCTCATTGAAAGATATTAAGAGGGCTTCTACTAACCTTCACAATAAACAAATATATCAGGACTAGAGGTTGCCAAGAACCAAAATTTCCCATGGAAATTTTTATAACTTTTATAAAAAGATTTTTTTTTTTAATTTCTGATTATTTTTAAAAATTCTTTTCTGGAAAATTTTCATTCAGTACAGTCAAAATGTTTCATTTTCATAGTGTTGAAATGTTTCATTTTAATGCTTGACTTCATTATTTCATTAAACTTGTATATCATATTAATATATTAAAGTTTTATATGTTATATTAATGTATTATGACTATATTAAATATATAGACATTTAATATAACATTAATATTTTATTATAATACATATATATGAACAACATTGAAACATGTTGACATTTTCCTGAAAAACTGATCAAAATTGACACATTTCCATAGAATAATACAACTAGAAGAGTCTCCTGCACTTATGGCAGGACCAAGCATCATCTATACCATCCCTTACAGGTCTTTGTCTAACATACTCTTAAAAATCTCCAGTAGTAGGGATTCCACAATATGCTAGGCAATTCATTCCAGTGGTTTACCACCCTGGCACTTACAAAGTTTATTCTAATGTCCAACCTAAACCTCCCTTGATGCATTTTAATGGTTCTTGTCCTATCATCAGGAGTTACAAGGTACTTAAAAGATGTTATGTCCCTTCTCAGTCTTATCTGTTGCAGACTAAACAAATCTAATATTCTTTCAATGTTCAGTTACAGATCATGTTTTCTAGACCTTTAATTATTTTTGTTGCTCTTCTTTGGACTTTTCCAATTTGACCACATTTCCTGAAACATGGTGCCCAGACCAGGACACAATATTTCAATTTAAGCCTAACCAATGTGGAACAGAGGGAAAGAATTAGTTCTTGTGTCCTGCTTACAACATT